TGGTGGTATACTAGCCTGTACATTCTGCAGGGATGGAGAGAGTCAGGCGATTGATTAATTGCATGTAGGCTAAGCAAAGCTACCGTATTTCTATTAAATTATTATGTTAAATATATTCTTAATACGTGTTTTTATTTTCCACCCCAATATATTAAAACCGCTCTGGAAGGCACATCTCTACAGGTATGCCCCAATAGAAATGTTTAACTAGCAAGCCGCTTTTAAAGCTATTTTAATGCAAGTCAGTGTCAACATCACCAAACTTTAAATTTAAAATTAGTGTCTTCATTAGTATTTTGTTGGACAGTACAGCTGCTTGTCCCCATATAAACCTATGTCAGTTTGGTCTCTCTGACTCTTGCTCTCCTGCTTTGCATTGTTTTTGTCACTCAAGCATTTGCCCTTTTCACTTTAGACTGGTATTTGGTCAGATAAGTGCCCATAACATATAACTTCACTAAAAATTGCCATCACTTTCATGATGTCCCTTTCCAGATGACTTGATACACCTCCTAGCCAGTTGCTGTAGAAAACTCTGAAGCTAATGAAAATGTAATTAACATTGCTTTGAAGTTTTAGATTTATAATATCCTGTAACTGACATAACACTTGTAGTAAAGTTGTAAATATTTATACATATGTATTGTTTTGGTTAGAATGGATAAGATTTTTTCTTTTGCACCGTGTAACAAGAACACAGACGAGAGGGACAAACAGGCGAACATGAGAAGGGAAGGGCATGAACCCCATGGTAAATACACAATACAAATACAAAAGTATGTGTTTTACTATCAGTTCAGAGTCATAGTGAGCCATCAACTCAGTTTTTAGAGCCACAACAACCGGTGGTACATACTAATGTATTTGTCATGATATGTAATTCTGTTACTCAAAATGCTTCTTCACAGCAGGGGGCTTCTTTGTTGTTCTGCAATAACCTAATGTTGACATGTAAAACCACTGCTGATTGTAATTCAATCCTTCCTGCATGTGCTTCACAAAACAAGTAAATAGTATGAAGGCGGGGGCAGGATTTTTTAAATGTGAAACTAGAAGTTTTGATGGTGCGATTTGGGCTAGCTTATCACAAGCAAAAACAGACTTCTCCCCAAAACTAGATTTTCACATGCTCTTTTCAGTGATGTAGAAACATTGTGGGGGTGAAATAAATGTTTTCACGTCTCACAAAGCTTGACAAAAGCAGCTCAGAAAGCAGCTCGGAAAATGAGGACTAATGTTGCGTGTCCTGTACTAACTCTTAGTAGCAAGGGTAAAATTTGCAACATGTTAACTTACACATAGAAGATTGATCCTGATGAGTTTGCGGTATTAGATTTACACATTTTAAATATGGGGAGAGAGAGAGAGAGCATTGGCATTTGATCACTACATGGTAGGGATCACTAAATTGCTTTGCAGTTGTAGATTTACTACATAACAAATGTAATGAAAATTACGAGTTAACCCTAGAGTTTGGGTTATCGATGGCAATCTGTTTTCCTCTTTTGTAGTGTCTCTGAAAAATGCTATGGAAGGGGACACTAGAAAAAAAAATAGAAACAGCATGGTCTCAAAAAAGAGGTCGCAGCAGTGATGAGACTTTTTACTAAAACCTTATTGTCAAGGGCAAACTAGCCACTATGGCTGAATGCAAGACCTGCAATGAAACAGTGTAAGACTGCTGAACATCCTGTTCTGGCTAGTCAAGAACCCCGTGGTAAATCTGGGCATTACATAAAAATAAAAAGCCATATGATAGATATTGTTACAGACTTTTGTTGTTGAAGCTGCTGGTTCCTGTTGAGCTTTGGAACGTGCAATAAGTGTTATTAGCACAGATCACGGTTGAGCCAAAATAAAGAAGCTGATTTTTATTCTTTTACCTGTAGGAGATTTATTATAACCTTCTGTTTTATTTTCAACAGAAAACTACTGTCCTGTTATGTCAACAAAGTAGTTAACTAGCATTTGAATACTTCATCCCCAAGGGAAGGGTTCTGGATTTCATGACCTCTGTAATAGTCTAATAAACCCTAATTAGCAAAAGGCAGCTGGTTCTCAGTAGAAGGATCAAACTTTAGCTCTTGAAGTTTCCAGTTGATGAAGTATATTTTTTATAATTCTAGCTTTTTTTACTAAAGGGAAAGAGGAGGCCTGTTAGCGTGACTAGTGACTTAGTTATGAGTAAGGCTTTAGTTTAGAATGAGGGACATAGTCTATATGTTACTGAGACTAATTTAGAGTTATTTGGACGCTGTTAACACTGTAGTTTTTTTTTTTGCTACATAAGAATTGTCCTTATTTTGTAAGTGTAACTAAAATTAAATATTTAGTTTAGATTACAATATTCTCTTAATAGAAATACCCCATTATTTTATTCATCCATGCTGGAGTGTCACTCCATGCTAGCTAGGAAGGAACTAAGAGGGAACTCCGTGTCATTACATGCCAGCCAACAATGGACGTTTCTGTAATGCAGTCAATAAATAAAGTGCAATCCTATAAAATTTAGAATGAAGAAACAAGTACATTGCAAAATTGATAGAAATCTTGTCTATAACTGGTCAATTTCATTTCACAATATTTGGGGACAGAATTATTCCAAAGGTTTAGTAAAAGTTGATAAACCTGTTTTAGTGATTACTTAAAAAAATAGGATCATGCTGCTGAGCATTTTAGTCCTAATTTATAATTATGAAGAGCAAATGCAAAATAAGATAAAGATGAAGGCCCTTTAAAAAGGCCTACTTCACCAAATGACCAAGCACCACAGACAAACCTGAAGAGAAAGTTTAAATGACTGCACTAGTGTAATAAGACATTTTATATAATTGAACCCTAGATAAAGTACCTTTTGCTGCTAATACTGCAATCTTTGACATTTGTGCATGCATCCAAGTTATTTCTGAATAACAGGTAAAACTGTAAATTCTCAATAAAGTGGCCCTGAATATTTATATATTACTAACACTGATGTTAAAATTTCCATTTTTGAAAGAAACAAGAAGTCTTTAAGAGATACAAACACTCATTAGCTGAAAAAAATTAACCGCATAGAGGTCCCCTCTTTGGTAGGTAGATACTGCTCAAGGATCCAAGTGCCCTCTTGGCAATTTCTTGAAGACAATGTTCTCGTTTTATTTTCACAGACTCCCATCATTGGCCTATGGTAACCCCTCCTAGTCTCTTATCATTGGCTCACGGCTAACTCTGCCCACCCTCTTATTTTGTATGTGACAGCATGTGGGAAATAACTGGTGAGGGGTTGGGGGCCGTTGCTTCTGGTACAACCAGATTATTAGATAGTCTGTAGTTCCAAACTCTTGTCTCCGGCTGATAAAAATAGGTTCCTGTTTCGAAAACGAACTCTGTCTGATAAACCCAGACCGTTTTTAACAACCGGAGTCTGGGGTTATAGATAACTCTATTCCATAACTGGTCTACAAGATTACCTGAAGATGCTAATGACAGTTAAAACACACAACTTGATGTGGCTCATTGAGAAAACAGAAGGAGGGGAGGGATGCAAGGAGGTGCGGGGGGTGGAGCACATTCCTCAATTCAGCCCTGGACAGCCTATGTTACACCAGAAAGAGAGAGGACAGAGAAGAAGAGACACAGACTCTAGAAGGATTAAAGTTTTAAGACTCACAAGTTTAAGACTAGGCTACAGCTTTTGAGTGATAATGATAGCAAGTTTGTAAGACAAAGCACTAGCAAAGATTTTACAAAGTTTAATTTTGGAACTCTCTTATATTAACTCTTATTTTGCTGCATGCTGTTGAAGGTAATTTTAAATGCTGTTTAATTTTAACTCACTGTTATACTATTTTAATGTAATTATTTCAATTTATTCTTTAGTTCTTTAATGATGGTAAGTTTGTCACACAAAGCTTTAGCAAAGATTTTGAAGGTAATTTAAAAATCTGTTTAATTTTAACTCACTGTTATACTATTTTACTGTAATTTATTTCAATTTATTCTTTAGTTCTTTAATGATGGTAAGTTTGTCACACAAAGCTTTAGCAAAGATTTTACAAAGTTTAATTTTGGAACTCACTCTTATTTTGCTGCATGCTGTTGAAGGTAATTTATAATGACATAGACATAGACACAGACATATCCGTTTGGGGCGGGACCGGATGCACCCCTCTTATCAGTTACATACAGACATATTTCCGGTTGGGGCGGGACAGGATGCACCCCTCTTATCAGTTACATACAGACATATTTCCGTTTGGGGCAGGACAGGATGCACCCCTCTTATCAGTTACATACAGACATATTTCCGGTTGGGGCGGGACAGGATGCACCCCTCTTATCAGTTACATACAGACATATTTCCGGTTGGGGCGGGACCGGATACACCCCTCTTATCAGTTACATACAGACATATTTCCGTTTGGGCGGGACAGGATGCACCCCTCTTATCAGTTACATACAGACATATTTCCGTTTGGGGCGGGACCGGATACACCCCTCTTATCAGTTACATACAGACATATTTCCGGTTGGGGCGGGACCGGATACACCCCTCTTATCAGTTACATACAGACATCCGGTGTGGGGGAGGGACCGGAAATAGCTGTCAAAAATGAGTTTGATGGAATGTCATGTATACTTCTCTCTACAGGAGTGTGTGTCTTTATCTCCTTCTTCCTAAAATCAAATCTCCTTAGTTTTTCTGACATTGAGCAGTAGGTTGTTCTCTAAGCACCACTCTACAAGATTATGAATTTCCTCTCGATATGAAGTCTCAATGTTGTTTGAAATCCTGATGATGGTGGTGTCATCTGCAAACTTCACAACAGAGTTCTCTCAAGAGACTACTCCACTGCATGCAGCAATAGCGCTCTTACTATAGTTTGCTTTAAAGATTGATTATGGCATACAGCAAGATACATATAGGAAAATACCAATAAAACAGCATCTAATTTTATTTGATGTTGGGCAAAGGCATCCAATGCTCCACTCAGGACATCCACACAGTTTGTACTCACCCTGACAGCACACCTAGCACCAGGTTGAGCATGAAGAAGGAACCGATGATGATTAGGGGGATGAAGTACAGCCAGTTCCACGTGTTCCCTGAGGCATCGTTAGCCTAAACAACATGCAGAGACAAAAAAAAAAACAGTTTACAGTAAGACAACTGTGGAATATCACCAGACTTTCACATAATTCACATAGAGGCATCAGATTCTACCTGACCATAACAAACTGTATAATGTAATGACAAAGACATGCTGATACTATAGCTTCACGGAAGTAATTAGACACCCAAAAATTACCCCTTTATAGGGCTGGGGATCCTTAATTTTTATTGATATTGATACCCTTATTGAGACTGCTTAACGATCCGATTCTTTATCGATACCACTATCAATACTTTACTATTATTTAGTGATGGTTATTGGGTAAGACCAAACGGGCATGAGGTAGGCCTGCACGGTATGAGGAAAATATTCAATGTGCGATAACGTTATATATTGAGATGACATATCGCTTGCGATAAATAAACATAGTGAAGTGTAAATATTAACTGCCTGGTTGTTTTTAATTTAATATTTTAAATACAGCTAAATGTTGTTTCTAGACAGCAGAAAAGTTACTCAATAACTTTATCTGACATCACAAGTAGTGAGTGACGTTCAGAAATAATAACATCAGTCTGTATCAGTCCCTCCTCCTCTCTCACTGGCTGCAGGTAACGTTACCAGGTAGAAGGAGGAGCGGCTGGTTTGTCTCAGCCAGCAGCTGAGTTTTTAAGACTACAGACCAGTCTGTGCTCTATTTAGCCTGTTTTTCACATTTGGCTAATGCCAAGCTAGCGTTAGCTGTGCTTGTATAAAACATACAGGATGAGATACTGAGGACAGAGATGTTTAAATTAACCATTTCTACATGTTTAACGTTACCTTACAGACAGGTGTATTGATAAAGTATTGTCTTTTTACTTGTGAAGGTTTTATTGCACGTACTTACAGTAACGAGCGTAGCTGTCATCAACTAACGTTACAGTAGTTTGGAGCTAACTTAACACTCACCGTATTCCACTGCGAAGGCGCAGCCTCTCGCTCTGCTGCCTGTCTGTGTGTGTGTGTGTGTGTGTGTGTGTGTGTGTGTGTGTGTGTGTGTGTGGGAGCCGACAGACAGCAGGCAGAGACTGCAGCCTGATGATTTTCTTATCCATTGCGTTTCAAATTAAATCACATTTGACGCTCCAGACATAACGTTACATCATAGCCAGCAAGTCTTGATAGCAGTATCGATAAGCTTGAACCTTATTGATTTTCGGGTTTTGAGAAATTTTGGAACCGGGTCGTTTTGGAACCGGGTCTCGATCCCCATCCCTACCCATATATGTGATTGTTTAACATGTTATTCCAAACCATGGGCTGGCTACTGGTTTCAAGCTTCCACCAGATGTTGGAACTTGACAGCAAGGATTTGCTCCCATTCAGCCCCAAGCAGGTCTTTCCTAATTAAATTTAGTCTAACTCCTCCCATACTCCCGCTTAGCAGCACAGAGGATATTAGTGCAGACCATCTGCAGATCCAACTAACAGCAAAGCTAGTTTGCGGGCAAGGTTAGAAACAGGGTATACACACAGGTTCTATGTTACTATAAATATTTTATATACTGGTAGCCATTATATATTGGTGTCCTGTTTAAAAAAAGCCCCCCAAAAAGTTTCCTCAGATGCACTTATCTGACTTTTAAGTCCCCAGATCTCTTTTCATGGAACCATTAAAAACAGCTTTTTTGTGTGGGAGTATAATGAAGAAACACGCGATAAAGTTTGAGAGAAAGCAACACAAAAGTAAAATTGCTACAGTTTGGAAGGTTACAACATTTCCAGCCAACAAGAGCTGCAGACCAGCTGCAGGACTCCTGCAGCTGGTCCAGTATTTAGCTTAACTCCATCAGCTGTTCGCTGTGACCACACTACTGCACCTGGCTCCTATTTCCGAGCAATACATTTAATGCCGACATAGCTACATCTCAGGCGGACATCGGCGAGAATTGTGCTATTTGACTATTGATTGTGATTTACTGGTTTGCAAACAACGGTGAAAAAGAGAGGAGCAGTCACAGAAAAACACCGGACATTCTCCAGTTAAAGCCAGTAGCCTCTACTCGCCTATTCAGAATTTCACTGCAAGGCAAGCCCCACCCCCCAAAGTACCGGTACTTTTGGAAAGTACTAACCCCCGAGCAGTGACTTTTTGGGACCCCAGAGCTACGTTTACACCCTGGTCCCTGGTGGAAATGCTTTCAGTTCCTCCAAAGGTTCCTAGTTCCTTTGGTCGAAACACAGCTTATGCAAGCAAACAGAATCTAACCTAAGACAGTTACTTGTAACAAGAGGTAGGTAAAAAAAATCTACTCTAAAATCTACTCAAGTAAGAGTAAAAGTATTATACATTACCACTACTGTGACAGTACAATTTACTCAAGTTACTTGAGTACATTTAACGGAGTAAATGTAACTCGCTACTACCCACCTACACCCACTGTATGTAACAGCATCCAAAAATTATGAAATCTACCTTAATGGATGTCAAACCACAAGAGCCTCTGCCATATATCTTTCTTATTTCTTTCTCTAACCCTGTTTATCAACATATAATAGGGGATTCGGGGGTTTTTTTGTGTTGAAACAGGAAAGGGAATAATTGTTGACACAAATTATAGTGCACTATTGTCTAAGGGCCAGATTTACTAAAGGTTTGCGTGAGCAAAAACGTGTTCAAACTTGATATCACCATGATCTACTAACGGTGTGCATGGGGGCATGTTTCAAAAGTGCAAGATAACCCCTGTTGTTCATTTACTACTTTGCCTTCATGAATATGCAATTTGGGACGTTTCAATTTGATTGTGCAAAGTAATGGAAGGGTAACATGTGAAAACCTTTATTTACTACATGCAAAGTGATCTAACAAGCCTAAAAGCAATTTCATGTGAGTGCAGCAGCATCTGTATTTAATACGTTTGAAAGGAAGGTGCAAACCGCCAAGTGTTGCAGAGATGGCTACTGTTATTGTTGCGAGGAGACACAGCCATAATGAAAGAAGATTCCAGCATACTGTATCTGTTTCTGCTGGGTTTTGCTGTCCCAAGTACTTGTGCAATCTTAGGCAGGATGGGCAGGTACATAGGATTTCCACATAATCAGGACACACTGAAACAAACCAAGGTTTTTACGCAGTGGCTGCTTTCGCTCCTGACCCTCCATGGCGGAAACCATTAAAATGCTGATTAAAAATGCATCTGCATTAAGATGCTTTGCATCTTGATGGTATAAAGAGAACATCCACACCTTTGAAAAACCATAATCATAGTGATAATGGAAACAAAAGAGCTGAGCTGTACTTGCCTTCTCATTTAGATGCGGGGTTACAACTGTACTGAAGAGAAAAATGCAAGGATTCCCTGCTATGATGGTTACCATCACTTTACTCTGTCTCTATTGTAAAATCCCTGGCTCCCTTTGAAAATAAAAGACAATATGATGGGTATTGGTGTTGTTGTGGAGGAGACGTGTGTTTGTTTGTGTGTGTGTATGGTTTTGCTAATAAAGCAGTAATGTCAGAACCAGCATTCACAATCTGAGGTTCATGTTCTCCATTGTTACTGTATCAATGTTTACAGAATTCCTTCACAGCGGGCACACACACTCAGATTTTAACTTTGGGAGATTACTTTGATTGTAATCAATCAAATTATCTGGTGATAAACTAATTTAATGAAACCCATTGTTTATTATTCAAAAGTGTGTGTGTGTTAATATTTTAAAGGTTTCTCAGATAGGAATGATCTCATTATTGCTCTAACCTGTTAACATAGGTGCATGTTAAACTGGGCACACACAATTTGATATGTATATATATGAAATTCTGTGCCAAGTACATATAAATAGCTTGGGAGAGCTAAACATCTATATATCTATATCTATCTATCTGTCTATATCTATATATCTATATATATCTATATCTATATCTATCTATATACACACACACACACACACAAATATATTAAAGTCACTTTTCCTCAACAAAATAAATATCTTAATAAAAAGTGCTAATTTGCTTGTGATTCAAATGAATTAAATCAAACATTTATTGACGATATTATTGTTACTTTGTTGTTGTTGTTGTTATTGTTATTATTACAACATTTGTTGTATTGTTTTGAAAAAATTATATTGCGATAGTTATCATCATTGATTTGTTGCCCAGCCCTAATTTCAGATGAAGTTGTTTTGTGATCTAAAATGAACTTTTACTATGAAACATGTGCCAGTGAACTTGAGATGATCCATACAGCCAGATCCACCAAACCAGGCATGTGCTGTGGTCACCCCAAGAGGAGAGGATAGAGAGCCAGGATGGAAGCCGTGCTGGCCCAGCTTGGATTTAAGGCTGCTCCTGGCTAATGTCTGGCAGACTCTGTGTTTACATCGATGAGACTTTGTGCTCAGTGAATTTAGATTGACACTGTTTCCCAAATGAAGAACTTGTGAAGATGAAAACCACATTATCATCACTAGCTTGATGTTGTTTACATTCTTGCAAACTCAAATTAATTTATTTCCTGAATGTATACATGTATGTTCAGTATATATGTAAATAAATAGCTGTATAGGCCTATATTGTTTTATTACAATGATTGCCAGAGCAGCAGCTCAGTATGGAAGAGCCTACATAGCCTACTTTATCATTGTGGAAGCACAAAAGCAAGCACTTCTTTCCTGCCGGGCACCACTCAGCCAGAGTCAGTGGACTTGGGAGTAAGAATGTCAACAGTGTTACTCTCACTGTCAAAAGAGGGAGCACTGTATCTTTAAGATATGTTTCCTTACATTGCCAATAGAGTGAAAAGAAGTAGAATCATGTCCCTTTTATTTTTGTAATAGATGATATAATATAGTCACTGTAAAAAAAAAACAACAAACAAACACACAAGTCCCTTGTATCTAGCTAAACATATCCCCAAATAAGATGCTATTGAAGGTAAAGCAAGTGATATTTACTTGGATTCAAACAGCCTTTCAATGATAGCACAAAAAAATACAATCCATACTCAATATAAATCAG